GACAGAACTTTGTCTGCCTTGGGAGACCCGCACTACAATAGCCCAACTTCGCTCTGGCTATTGCAGCAGGCTCAACAGCTACCTGAGCAGAATCAACGAAGATGTGCCCAACCAATGCCCGGCATGTGGAGGCGCCACATGACTCCCGGCACCTCCTCACATGCCCTGAGAATCCCACTCAGCTAACGCCCCTGTCCCTATGGAGAGCCCCTTTGGAAGTAGCACACTTCCTGGGCCTCCCCCTAGCTGAAATAGACGACAACGTTGATGGATGAACCGCCCCGAACGGGGCTTAGTAGCCGCTACAACAACAACATGCACATATACAGTGCTGAAAGATATTTTCCCGCCAAGAAATGTAACTAATTAGCCGAATTTCCCCTCAATACAATTCGCTGTTTGAGGGTTCGGCTAAACTAGTCAAAAATAGCCCAAGTCATCCCATTTTTATCACAATCGAGCACGGACGCCTTTTAGCCACCACCCTTCATCTCACACCACATGGTAATATTGTAAAATATACTCCGATAACCAAACAATCTCAATAAACACTTTAGCAAGTAATTATTAATTTAAATCAACAAACTTGTATTTTCTTTTCACTCAGTTAAACTTGGATGCCCTGCTGGAGTTGCGTGCCACATACGCATCCCAAGTTGACAGGGGATAATCGATTTATTAAAGCTTTCATGTATGCTAGCCTTTTTGGAATGGTGACAGGCAATAAGGTCAATGGAAATAAGGTCAATTGACTTTATTTCCCACCCTGGTGCGAAATAAAGTCAATTGACATTATTACCTTTTCAAAAGCGAAATAAAGTCAACAGAAATTTGGAAATAAAGTCATTGGCGCTATTTCCTCATTGAAATGGAAATAGCGTCAACAATGCTTAAAGTATGTATGTATTAATAGAAAAAAATGTTTTTCTTACAATAAACATTGCCCCGTAAGTGTTGTTTTTTAATAGATGAAAAAGGTTGTTGCCAAATTTTCAGTGTTGTGATATTAATCCACACACAATCATGAACTACCACCAATTGATTTTATTAAAAAATTTAAATTACGAATATGTAAAAACACGATGCGAAAAACTAAACGCCTGCTGAAATACGAGAAATATTTGAAGAAAGAGTGTAGAAATGATCCATAACTTGCAAAACATGTTTCGTTTCCACAAAAATAAAGCGAACACTATTAAATTGAAGAAACAGTCCATGCCCAAAAATTCCCGGAGGAACACTAAAAGAATTGTGTGTTTTAAATTAGCATATTTTGAACGAATTCGGAATGTTTAAGGTGGAAAAGAAACCAACCTTTCTATAAGGAAACAATTATAGAAAAAGAATTTTCTT